TTTCTTAACATAATAAGCCCCCCAGTGGCACAGCGGTATGTTTGCGGACTTACAACGTTAGAATCTGGGCTTCGATACCCGTGGTGGGCAGAGAACAGATATCCCATTGTGTAGCTTTGTGCTTAATTACAAACAAACAAACTTAACATAATAAACATTAAAAGTGCAATAGAAATACATAAAGGTACAAATACTGAAAACAAGACGTACTGTTCTTAAGAATTCTATCAACATAAAAGTAGACGGGGTCCATCTCCCCTCCCCTCATGACCTACCTCATGTCATCCTGTATCACTGTATCAAGTTTGGTGCTGCTTGATCAAGAAATGTAGAAACGTTTAAGGAACATATACACAGATATATACACACATAAATATTGACGTTTATTTATATATATCAAAGAAATGTTGATCATTAAACGCCTAAAACCAGATTTGAATGTTAATTACGCAGCCTTGCAATTTCTTTTAAAATATCTATCTATTGGAAGAATGAGATTTGTACAAATAACATATTTAGCTAAACAAATATTTCATTCTGAATCGATTATATTCCAGTGAAAAGTGTCGACAAATGCTCATTAAGTATCAGTTTTATCAATAATTTGGAAATTAATACTTTGAGTTTTTCTAACAAGTTTGGGGCTGGCATGGCTTGGTGGTTAGGGACCTGGATTCACAATATGCAGTTTGCGGGATCGAAACCTGTTACTGAACATCCTCGCGCTTTCAGTCCTGGGAGCATTATGATTTATAATTACTCCAACTCGTTGTTGTTAAGGAGTAACCAAAGAGTTAGCAGTGGGTGATGCTGACTAGCTGTTTTCTCTCTAATCTTTCACATCAAAATTAAGGACAGCTAGTGTAAACATCCCTCCAGTAGTTTTTCACGAAATTCAGCAAACAAACAAACTAATTTTCCAACATTAAAGATGTATTGAGGTTGAATATAACAATGTAAATCCTATTTAGTGACCCAGTTGCATAAAAAAATAATAAAACCAAAATACCAGAGGTGTCTACAAAGTTATATTTTTAAATGAGTTAAGTGTATGTGTTTTCATAGCAAAGCCACATCGGGCTGTCTGCTGTGTCCACCGAGGGCAATCGAACCCCTGATTTTATCGATGTATATTCGTAGACTTATTGCTGTCCCATCGGGGGATTAAATGAATTAAGCAACCCACGTTAATAACTGTCTAAAATTCTTTATTAGAGCAACGTTTTGACCAACTACATAATCGAACTTGCGCATGGAGGAATAAGACGATCGCGGCGTCGATCTGAAAGAATTCACAAGCAATGGGCATCAGCTTTCGAACTAACGTAAAAATGTATATCCTCTGAACCGGATGAAAAGAATTTAGGAGACTGATGTCAATTTTCCCCCTAAAACTAAGCATAATATTATCCGAACAAGCACATTGAGGGTCTTGAAAAATTGGTTTTAACACAACGGGTTATACACACTTTGTACACCACGGGGATCGGACCCTGGATTCTAAGCCCTGAATCTTATCCAGGAAATCCCTGGGAACATTTTTATAACTTTACTGTGCACAGCAAATTCTGATCCAGTAAAATAATCCAAATTCCTATATTATTTGATGAATTCTAAAACGAATACAAAATAAAAAGATATACATTGAATGGCTGATCTTTCCTAAGTTCGTTATCTCAGTACCATTACTTAAAAAATGAAATACAGTGGTATGCCTACATTAAGTATAATTTTAAGGGTTTCACCATTACAAAAGAAACAAAAAAGTACTATTTTACTAAATTCCATGTAAGGATAGATAAACTTATATAGAAACAAAGAAATTTGTTTGCTTATTTGTTGTTGAGATCAAAGTTACAAAATAGGTTGTGTATGCTGTGTCCACCACGGGCATCGGAACCCGATTTTTAGACTTATGAGCCTTCAGACTTACAGTTGAACCACTGGAAGCAACATGTATGTGCTAAAATATTAACAAACATGACGTTTAAAAATCCAATTGATAAAGAAAAATATACATGTATTGTGCAAATACTACATGAAAATATGTTAAAGCTGAAGTACAACTTTTCCCCCATGATTTTAGTTACGACTTTATAGAACTGAAAAGTTAATTTTTGTACAATTGGGACTCACTATTTGAAATACCGTATAACCGGTGTTTAACCCTCGTGTTGTTCTGACACAAGTTTACTAATAATAGTGCATGATTAAAAGCCAGATATATATAAAAAATATTCAGAAAAAGCGGTAGTTAGGAAAATAAAGTGATTAACCAGAACTAATTTAATACAGAATGTTTGAAAAAACAGATAATGTACAGGTTGTGTGTTGGTTTCTGCTGACACTCTGAGCCATTAATATCTACCGGAACAGCGGGTTTAGCAGAAGACATTAATTATGCATTGTTGTCCTTCGTACAGAAACAAAAGATTAAATATTAGGCCAAGATTATATATTAATACAAACAACGAGTTTTAATAGACAATTTTACGTTAGAGTTAAACAAAAAGTTGGCAGTATACCAATGAAAGTTACTTTGTGCTGTCCAATTCGTGGAACTGAATCACGTTCTTTGCCTAGTGTCGAGAAACAAAATACACAGATTAATATGTTCACTCTCGAGAGTTACAGCGGATGTTTCTAAAATTGTTTTTGATCATCCTTCATAGTTCCAAAGAATTTGAATGAAAGAAGATAATTATGAGAACAATCATTATTTCTGGACTCACTTTAGTCAGTAAGTTATGATAAAGAGAAACTAGAATTATATGCAAAAATAATATATATTTATGTTGCTTGGGGATCATTTATTTTACAGTTTCAAACTCTCTAGACTTTCCACCTTCTGGCCTTACAATCTACATCAGCTTCTTTTAGCCCCCTCTCTCCGTATTTCAGAGGTAATTCTGAAGGCTTATAACTAGGCTGAAAACTAGGTTTTGATACCCGTGGTGGGCCATTGTCTAGCTTTGTGATTAACAACAAACAAACAAACAGTCCTTTTAGGCTTTATAATTCCTTATTTACAGTCGGCCCCCGGTAGATCCACGATAAGTTTGAGGTTAGTTAATACTAAAAGTCGGTTTTCGATATATTATGTTATATTGTTATGTCTCATGATTCATTTTAACCTTGTTATATTATAATAGAGGTTCTCAAACAGTGGTCAGCGGCCCCTGGGAGTCCGCAGTAATACATCCAATTTATGAAATTACCGTTTACTGAATGAGTAACAAATAAGATAAAATGCGAAGTTTCTCTCAACTTGCTTATATAAAATCAAAGTATAGAAATAAGATAAATGTGGAACCGGATCTTCGTTTGAAACTGTCAGACAATGACCCAGAAATTCGCAAGATTGTTTCAGTAAAGCAGTACCATCCTTCACATTAAAGTAAGTCGTAAGATTTTATTTTATTTTAATTTTTCCATATTTAAATCTCTTTTCTTAAAACTAGAATAAAGCTGTAAAGTTAGTAAAATACACATATGATACACCAGTTACACATGATAAAAAAACTATTTTTAATGGGAGGTGGTCCGCCAATACAGTAAAGAAGTTGAAGGGGGTCTGTTGGTTGACAAAGTTTGGGAACCCCTGTGTTATAAGATTCATTTTCCCCCTTGTTATATTATATGATTAGTAGGAAATTCTAGGACGTAATGCTTTCTTTCTTCACTTTCCTTAGTTATAACTTAGGTATGGCTGCGTCCGAAGTCAAAGAAGCTCTGACCTAGCCGTTTAGCCCATATGCCACCTATGGTACCATTGAAATTGTAAATACTGAGTATCAGATTGAACTATTTGTATATATATATATATTAATACATGCCGCCGCAGATGCAAGATGTGACACAACGAGCGATATGTTTGACACCTACAGCGTCTAGGTTTATATATATACAAGGTTTTCGCAAAAAGACATAATCATACAGCAAAACTGTTATATTGTATATTGTACTGTATTAAGGGATACAACGTTTCGAAAACCGTAGTCACTATTGAATATTCATCACATATGTGGAAAAATACTCACAACAAAGCATGTAAAGCAGCAACAATCTCCGAAAGAGAACGTTCCAACTCAAAAAGGCCATCATTTTGATGAAGCTGACAAATTTCCTGGTACGATAACAATATAATAAACAAGTGTGTAAAGTTTACAATCTCCCCGCAACGCTTCATAATCAGTATGTGTTTTAGGTACTGAGAAAGATGGCCAAAAAACAAATAAACTGGATTTAATGCAATACAAATCAACCACACACACACACATGTAAAGTCAGTCGAGGTAGGTCTGTTTCAACACGGTCTTAGTAGCTGTTGTTGCTTTATAATAGTTTTTGTGTAGTCCAAGGTTAACTTTCCCGTCCTTCTCAGAAGCATGTTAATATGGAAATTGCAATGTTTGGCAATATTACGCAATCATGGCTATCAAATGAAAAACGATCGACCAAAAAGGAAGTAGTTTTAAGGTCTCGTTTACTTGTTTGTTTTAGAAGTTTGACGCAAAAACATTCTTGTCTGACAGAATAGTAAGGTTTTACCTTCGCGGTTGTGGTACACTCACCGTTCCAAAGCGCGTTTCTGCAATAATAGGACATGAACAATGAGCTCTCTTCTACCACTAGGTCATACATAGCCAGATCTAAAGGTAGCACACAACTTGGAACATCATTCTTACAACACACAATCAACAGATTTATTAGCCGTACGATTTTAACATTACATTTTTCGTGTCAATAATCATGTTGAGTGGATGAGATATTCAAACAATGTCACCGAAAATGTTTACTACACTTTTCAAATTTGTCGATAATCAGTGATTTAATTCTAACTTCTCGTTAATTTATGTTTAACTTTACTATTTCTTGCCTTGCTAACACTTTCACTGTTTTATTGTAATGTATCAATCTTTGGTAATTCTATATACGATTTTAGGCATTTACCTGCATTTTACAGTATTAATGCACATAAAACTTTGAAGTATCTCTACCTTGACTAACAGGAGAAATAACATGGAACATAACAGAAGCACCTCCCGATCCTTCTCCAAACAATGTGATAGAGTTGATATCACCTCGAAAGTAGTTGATATTATTTCGAACCCACTCAAGTGCTAGCTGTTGATCCCATAGACCCCAGTTGCCAGATGTATCTTCATTTTCAGTACTCAGGAAACCTGTGGTTAGAATATATTAAAGACCAAAACTATCTATAAAGTTTAGACATGAGTTTAATCGAAAAGCAAGATGAGCACTGTGCCAGAAATATGTTAAAGTGTTCACTATGATTGCAGGAACGTGGCTTGTTCCCCGTTTTATTGTAGTTTTATACAGTCAGGTTTATGCAATTTTAGATAATATCTCTTTTTACTGTATGTAATTCATATATATATATATATATATTAGTGTTGATAAAATGGACAAGAGTGGTTATGCAGATAACAGATGGCCAGAATCTCTCCCCACCCCATCAATAAGGAAAACTGAAACCACACTTTGCTGTAGTTCCCTATATATATATTTGTGTTGATAAAATGGACAAGAGTGGTTATGCATGATAACAGATGGCCAGAATCTCTCCCCACCCCATCAATAAGGAAAACTGAAACCACACGAACTACAGCAAACTATATATATATTTGTGTTGATAAAATGGACAAGAGTGGTTATGCATGATAACAGATGGCCAGAATCTCTCCCCACCCCATCAGTAAGGAAAACTGAAACCACACGAACTACAGCAAACTATATATATATATATATGTGTTGATAAAATGGACAAGAGTGGTTATGCATGATAACAGATGGCCAGAATCTCTCCCCCACCCCATCAATAAGGAAAACTGAAACCACACGAACTACAGCAAACTATATATATATATATATGTGTTGAT